AGAGAGAGAGAGAGAGAGAGAGAGAGAGAGAGAGAGAGAGAGAGAGACGACGACTTGCTGCGAGCTACGATAAAAATTTCCCCGTCCAGGACGATAAAATAGGTCGCAAGATCCTTCTATTTCGAGCCGCGGAAGCTGGCACATCTCCGCGGATATTCTCCGCGCGGATCTTTATGCGCTCGTCGACGAGGTTTTACGTCGAGGCGCTCGTGAAACTCACGTTACCAGTCGTAACTTTGTCAATGTTACGGCCCGCAAATAGAAGCTTGTATACGGGATATCAAAGAGGGAGAGGGTGAGTTTGAACGCCCGCGCCGAGTCAAATTTAATTGTCACAAATTATCCACGGAAAGTCGCGATCGATAGTTCGCGTGATGGCTCTACGATTAGGAATTTCGAGGTGGGCATGGCAGATACCACAGTTTCCCGGGCGTTTGAGAGTTTTCACGTACAGTTACCGCGGCCCGTCAACCCCTTTCGATCGTCTTTTCCTCAATGAAATTTCAGGGGCGTGCGCTACGCTATATCGGTTTTCCACATCGCCTCGCGCCGGATAGAGGCGGTTCATAAATTTTCAGCCGGATGGCACTGCGTTTCCGTTAGCGTCGCACGCGGAATAGCTTTCACGTAACGCCCTGTCAACGCGGCCGTTGAAATATTAAAATACTCGTCGATCGAACGCCGAAGTCAATTCTTCTTATTCCGTCGAAGGGAACATACAAGGAATATATTCAAGTCACGGTAAAATTCATCGTGTCGTCATTTGAATTCTACCATGTCAACGTCAAAGATAACGGCTGTTCCTCTCCGAGAGAATGGGATAATAGGAATAATACAGATTGTGATGTGAAAGCATAAGTATATATTTTAATAAAATTTGCACGACACGTTGGCATGTAGCTTGCATACATAAAAAAAAATAGATTCTTTTATATTTTATTATATTTAATATTAAAAATATTGTATTTTATATAATTTGCAATCTATTAATGTGAAACTACATCTCATGCAAACATTATATGAAGATTATAAAGCGCATTGTATATAATATTCGGTCTTTTCTTTACTAACATGATATCTTTGGCGAATGAAGGTAATTCTTTTACAGCGAAAAATTCGTAGAAGAAAAATCGCTATCATAATTTTCAATATAAAATCTCTTGATATTTGTATCTTCGTCCGACGTGATCGTTCATAATCACGATGTCACGTCGAGATGCATTTTCACGACATTTATCGCGGAAGTGCATCGCTCGGAGCTGTCGCACCTTTATTGCGAAATCAAGCTAGGCTCTTTCTTTGGACGTTAGGAGGTTGCTAAAGATTGATGGCCGGCAATACGAAAGGAAAAAAACATTGCGCAGGAAGTGCTCATTGACAAATTGATACAAATGGGGCCGGCGACGATCGCATTTCTCGTGCTTTCTGTGTCTTCCCACATGCCTCGCGATTTGCGGAAACGCCTACTTCTTATATTTATTCGACGACCGACGATGATTGTGAGTGCATCTCCTACTAAGTGTTTCAAAAGTATTATGGCCTCTATTGGCTCTATTTTATTATTCGCACATCAGTTCTTTGAAAATGATTTAATATTAGAAATTATGCGTTTTTGCATTTTTTTTATAAATAAATTTGTGCCACTGAATTTACTTCGAATGCATCTTATTGTAGCGCAGAAATAAAAATCTTTAGAGACTTTAGAAAATTACCTAAATATACTTATTTAAAACTAAATAAAAGAATTTTGATTAAAATTGTTCCAAAATTCGACAAATCTTGTAATTGAGAAGGAAAACGATCTTAAAACGCTCCGTACAAAGTGACCGATAGCCTTGATCGAATTATGCGATTTATACTTTTATTTCTCGACGGTCGATCTGCGTGTCAGAATGATGAAATGGGCGGACGCATATTGCCGTGCCGCGGAAACACGATAACTTTTGACATGTTGTAGTAAAACCGCTAACATCCCTAAAAGAACATGTTCGTCGGGGAGTTGCTCGCGGGACCGCGAGTTTTCTTTTCTCGATCGAGACGTCATGACGCGCCGCGTCGCGTCACGAGTGGTAACGAGTTTTCGTCCGCTTTTACAAAATTGTTCTGCGGGCAAAGTTTCGCGCCCGGCAATAACGGCGTACCGAGACTCGCCCGCGCGAACTTTCAGACTTTCCACCAAGTGTGCAATAGCGCGCGGACAACTATTGATACCGTTTCGTGAAACTTACAGCGCGGATGAATCGCGGTGATAAAGCGCGGTTCCGCGAATTTTTTTCGATTAAACTTTTGTACTGTCCAGGAGAATCAAGTGCAATTGTCTTGAACAGAGAAACGAGAGAGATGATGTTTGAAAGAGAATCATGTGTTCTGATATAAATGCATGGCATACACATATAAGTATTGTATTATCTTAAAAAAGCTGTCATATTTTTTTAGAAATAAGACGGTCGACATCCATCGACTTCCTTCGAAAGAAGCAATTTCCTGTAAAATTGTAAAATTTTTTTTATCACGACAAATCAAGAGCTGTTCTTTATATTTTTTTTTACTTTATATAATATTCATAATTTTTGTCGAAGGATACGATCAATCTCCGTCAATTTTCTTCAAGGCAAATAATTCTCTGCAATTTTTTAAAACTTTTATTCTTCACTTTTTATTTTTTATCGTAAAATTGTACAAAAAAGAAAACGTGCACTCTTTATTTTACTTTATAATTATAACTTCCGTCGCAAATGATATAACTGATTTCCATTAACTTTCTCCAAGTTTGTGCTGTTAACTTTTAAACATTTCTTGCTTCATCGAGTTAAATTTTACAGAATAACGCACCGATGCTTTTGCATCGTAATTTTGGTGAGTGGGTTGGAGTTCGACACATTTCGGAATGAGGAGAATCGCACAACGATGTATACATATACACAACAATATATATATATATATATATATATATATATATATACTCGGATATCCATTATTGCGATACTCGCGTGGCCATTCTTGTCACGAAGTAGACAGACAACGAGGCTGGCTTATGTGTTTGTTGCACGAACTCGGACTAATGTTACATTGGTCATTCCGTCTACCATGGCATTTATCACCGTCGAGTTCGTATCTGCAAAGAGCATTCCCAAATTTTTGCTCCCTCGTGCCATTATCCCGAAAACTCTCGCGTTGTTTCTACCCATAAATTTAACGCAACAAATTTAACATTTAGATTTCACGTCCGAGCTGATCTTCAGGATTAATTCTTTTTTCATGAAATTCGCACAGCGAAATATTTCACGAGAAGCTTCATGCTGATTTGAACTGAAGGGCGTTTTTACTCCGCGATGCGATCGATTTTTGCAAAATAGGATTTTGTTCGCCCGTCGATTCCGTCTCAATATCTCGCCTGGCATTAACTTTCAGAGCTATGCGAGGAATGGGCGCTGGCGAACAGCCGCGAGTGCGTGGAGGGTAGCGGTTCGACGAGCACGACGCACGGGGAGGAATCTGAGGATGCGTCTGAGGCGAGGTTCACCCTCAAATATTTGGGCAGCACCCTCGTCGAAACGCCTTCGAGCGAGGAAGCCACGGCGGAAGCTATTAAGACCGTTATCACCATGGTGCGTATTATTTCGAGCATTTTTTATAATTTACACCCTATAGACTTATCCTGAAAAAGCGTTTCCAGCTTTGCAATTTTCTTTATGATCAAATTGTGTTCCCAATTTTTTAAATCTGAATTATTTCTATTACTCTACTGATTTATTGTTATTATTAGTTTTCACGCTACATCTAAAAAAAAATCAGGTATTAATACGAAAGTAATTGAATCACGTCAAATTTGTAAATTCTGTTATATATATGTATGACTTGTACATTTATAATTAAAGTACAATTTTTTAAAGTTTTCCTTTCTAATTTAATCTTTATATACTTAAAAAAGCACTGTCCCAGAAAAGTGTAATAAATTTACAACTTACAGTATAGCAGTACAAAATACAAAATACTAAAATAAATATGAAAAACCATGTTTAAAAATATTTTTAATCTTTTATATGCAACTTATGTAAAACATATTTACGTTTCATTTATACAGCGAATAAACACGATATTTTACGCAGAATTACTTTCAATTATTATCAAATTTAGCGAAAGATAAAGAGAGGGGGGAGAGAGAGAGAGAGAACGCGTTTGCCGCTTGCGCTGGAGATTGCCACTATATTATTTATCGTTGGAATTGTATTGCACCGTGTAATTTACTTTCAACCATTTTCCGACGCGGCCGCCGTGAAGAGAATTTAATTGAAATTGCAAGGTACTAATTTCTCGCGCATAGCCGCGGGTCCGTTAATAGAGCTAATGAAAATGAAGCGTGATTACTTCGCGCCATGTTTATTCGCTACTTTGTCTCTGTCGCGCGGCTGACGGCATTCTAATTATTTTTTTTTACCTTCTTTTTCTTCCGTTGTTTTACGCCATCCGGATTTTATTGATCGGCAATCAAGATTTTGTCGAAAGTCGGATCATGTGTTTTGCAATCGTGCTCGCCGGTGTTCAGGAATTGCAGGAGATAAAAAATGCACGAAAAGCAGCGAGGACGCGCGGTAAAAAGCGGCATTAATGAGAAATGGCTTATTTGAGCCAACTTCCACTCGTCCGCTAATTACTTTTGACTTCGTACGTGAAATATTGCGAGCATGGCTGATATTGCTTCCGATGGAACTAGTATTGCTTTTTTCATACGCGAAAATATCATCGAATTCGTGATTTTGGGCGTTTTATCAGGCATGGATGTTGATTGAGAAAAAAATTACTCTAACAAACAATTAATTTTTATACAATAGAATTTTTTATACTTTGAATACGGTACATATTCAGGCACCTCAGTAATTAATAGAAGATCGATATTCAATATTTCTCAAACACACGCGGATTAGATTGGCAATAAAGTACCGTGGCGAAAATTATTTAAAAAAATGATTTTATTGCGATGGTTGAAAAAAAAGTCATATTCAGAAGTTGTAAGTTCCATCAGTTTCTCAATTTGGTTTAGCAGGCGAAATCCTTGTTGAATAGCGTAATCGACAGAGGAAAACGAATTTACGCGATTTAGCAGCGATCCGAGGAACATGATTAATTAATAACGAAACTTCGTCCGCATCTCATATAATTCCAATTTCGAAGCGATTACAACTCGTACCGCGAGATTACACGGACAGAATTGCAGAAAGCGGTAATGTATGTATTTCGGCAATTTCCTCCTATGATGCAGTTATTAATGAAGGGATTCAGTCAACATACGTTGGAAACGCGTACGCGAGAATTTCGTTCATTCCACAATAAATATAATTTACACAGTGTTTATTTGTACACTCGATAAAAATAAAAGCTACAATGTCTACATCATATGTTTCAGCATAAAGGTAGCTTAACACGGAATATCCATAATATATAGGTATCTGTAATTTCTGAAATTATAATGTAATATACATACATATTTTTCTAATATCCACGACAAACTTGGAGGAATCTCTTATGATTTGTAATTATGTCTTCTTCGCTACGGAGATCATTTATAAGAATTTCAAAAACGCGCGTAACTGTAAATCCGAAACTGCAATGAAAAATACGGATCTATGTATCTTGCGGTCGCCGGGTTTAAACACCCGGTTTAATATTGCACTAAGCTGCTCTCGTTCAAACGCTTTTGCTGCAACGCAAACAGATCAAATAGCTACGAGTTTTTGCGAACTATCTCGATTTGGATTGATTCGAAAGTTTCCCGACGCGCGCAATCGTATTCCGCGTCGGGCAGCTATATATACCCGATCGAAGTCTGCATTGCACTTCTGTCTTTGCGCTAATTGTCCCACCGGGTTTGTCCGCTTCAATTGATCTTCTCTCGCTGTCTTTTGTACCTGCGTAATTGCGTCCATTATTGTTAGTTCCTCCTCGCAGCGTCGCATTCATTTGCCGGATTGGATGGGCACCCTTTCCGTCTCTATGGCCGTCCCTTTGTCTCACGTTGAAACAATAAATTCTGTTGCTTACTTACATCTCATCTGCTAGAGAAACTAATTGATGCGATAATCTCTGTCATGCAATTTATATAATTTCACAATGTTTTTAAACGTACTGCAAACGTCAATTTACTTCTGAACGCACTTCAAGTGTTACCGTAGTTTTATCCGACTGTTATTCTGAGAAGAGTTTTCATTTTCGTAATTTTGAGATAATTTCCTCTAAGTCACTAATTAAGATGTTTCTGTTGCGAAGCGGGAGTTGTTCGCGCGTCTAACAGCATGATCTTATACCATGTCACGACCGTAAAGGCAACTCCGCATTTCCGTCATGCAATTCCTACTCGCAAGTTCTCACTGATAATGCTATTTAGTGTTTGCGAGCAAGAAGCTACTGGTACAAGACACCCTAAATTACTGCATATATACGTATAATCCGAACTAATAGGTAATAATAAGTCATTGTGCTAAAAATATAAGTTGCTGCTTTCGTCAAGTATAGAAATAGTTAATCTCGAATTAGGACTCCGTGAGATTATAAGTGAAAAAAGAAGCCGCGAAGAGAATTGAGAGCTGGGTTAAACAAATTAATTTTTAGGTCAATTCTCGAGTCTCGTCTTGAAACAAAATGATAAAGTGAGCTGGGATATTTAATTTATCGAAGAAGCGGAAGAAATATCCGCTCGGATATCCGGTTTTTCGCAACAAGTCACTGTCAAATGCATGGCTGAATAAGCACGTTTTCGTTGCAGATTAAACGCAAAAAAAAATCTTCATTTATCAAAAAATAAATGAAGAGGAGACCTGAGTGGATTCGGGTCTTGTTATCGCTGCAAGGCTTCTCTTTTTTTCACGGAAGGATCGTTAATCCGTGGAACTTGTGGAACTTCACATGCAATTGTTTCAACAAATTTTACTCGAAACAACGTGAATATCAACCCTTATTTCGCTTCTGGTAATTGTTGTTATTTAAAAAAAAAAGAGCAAAAAGAATGTAATTAAAAGCTCGATTATCCCGCGGAATAATTTTACAAGCATTAACATTGCTACTATCATTATTAAATCTGGATATATAAATATGGAATTTAATTCATAACAAAGTGTGCTTTTGCATTGTATAATTAGCCTTTTGTGTTTGATTATTTTAATGTCGAGTATGAAAATTTAAATTAAAAGAATGAATTAGCTTCCAGATAAATATTTTCCGTCATCAAACAATAATGTTAATTCGAGATCAATATAGATTGATATTTTTATCAAATTCGTTTTCTTCGCGTAGCGAGGAACTCGTGTTGCTTGTAATATTTCTCCCGCGTCCATAGTTCTTTTTACGCGAGATAAACACGTACGTTGCAGTTTAAGTCGAATTAAATTTCTAAAATCTATTTATGTCATTCTCTTTGCATATTTTGTTAAAAGTGACATTACCGAGCGCAATAGATACGTGTTATCCTAAAATCTATGTCACAGTGTATAATCAGATTGCGAAGACATTGAGCATATCCTCCCACAATAACGCATTTGCGACAGAGAGATGCAGAATATCTGCTCGAGAATCACCGCGCGGATTAGGGAACGTTCCGGAATCTCTCGTGCGACGTTCGCGATTAAGGCGGCGGGAAATCTCCATGCGCGAGTTAAATCGTTAAATGAACCGCTTAATCCGCACGAAGACCCGTAATTGCGTTGCAATGGAGCGACGCGAGAGAGAACTCACAATTTAGCGACGAGATATTTGATTTCCGAAAAAGGTAATCGAGCTGTTGCTTCACTTCACTCGGGTTTACACCGCGGATTTACTCCCGGGCGCATCTCGAACTACTCCAGGTACTTTAGTATAAACACCACCACCTTCTGCTTGAGCAAACGGCGAAATTGTTGTCGCAATGGAAACAAAATTAATAGAAATTCGCTGTTCGGTCGGATGATCTATCAAATGATTCTCTTGAGATTGAGTTTCTATGTATAGTTGGAAAAAAGGATGTACTGCCAGCCGCAAATATCAGAAAACGAATAAAAAAATATCGCTTTAATAAAAAGTTAATCAAAAGTAAATATACTTTAATTAACAGACTTTTTATAGTATATGATAAGTACATATACATATTGCTTATAGTATAATAAGCAGATTTCTCTCTTTGCACCCTTTACTCTATAGATATACACATCAAATCTTAAAGACATAAAAATTATTACATAACTCTAAAATAGACTCAAGATTAGAAATTGATAATATTGTTTATGTAATGAGAAATTAAATTATAAAGCGATTGAGAGAATATAGAACAAATTATATTTTATGATTAAGTATTTTTCTTCGTTAAATTTTACACGTTTAATGCTCAAATGTTTGATGACATAGAGAGAGCTGCAAAATGAAGACTTGAAGGTTTTTTGCGAATTCGATACTATTATTTCGTTTTTATAAAACATATATAGATGTATGTAATATCTCTTACTTTATATTACATTATAGAGCTTTATAACGAAAATGACATTGGGAGAATAAAAAAAATACTCTTATTAAATTAAATTCTTTCATTACTGGATAAATGCTCTGGTGCATTTGGCTCATTGCATTTTTCATTTTGTCTATTTTAATTATTACAGGCGAAAGCAAGCGGAAAAAAATTGCAAAGGGTCTCTTTGGCTGTGAGCTTGAGAGGAATTAGAATGACGGACTTGGCCACCGAAGAGGATCAGCTTCAGGTGTCAATATACAGGTAGGAGCATTAGATTAACAATTAAATTACAGAATAATGTTAAATACAATTAGCAATTTACTTTGTCATCAATTTAAAAATCTGTATATGCTGCATTAAATTAAATTTAAACACAAAAACTTTCTAGAGCATTATGTGAAAAATAATATTAAAAATTATAATATAATAGAAGAAAGAAGAACACAACGTGTATTTCACCAGGGAAAATGTTTTTTTTTCTGAGCGAAACGCGATAATGAATAATTGTTTTTCGAGAAACACGCGCCAGCTCGCTCGATTAAAATTTCGATCGCACCGTGTGAAACTCGCCGCGATTTGCTGTATATTTTGCCGATCTGGCGGCGAATTATATTCGTTGTATACGTACGCCTGAGAGTGCATTAACAATCCCATGTAATGACGACGCGATGCAGTGATGGTGCAGCGAGCGATATGTGATATGCAACGAGCGCGATTTCGATATTCGTTACGGGAAATTACAAGCGCGACTATTTCCGATCCACGAAGCTTCTTTCTCTGTCTCTCTAATGCTATCGCTCGATTTGCAACGATTGCGCGTTGTTTTCAATCTTATATTAATGGCTGAAAGGATTATAATATATGTACAGTATTCGGTCACAACGATTATTACGTTATTAGTCCTTTTTGCAGCATTTTGTGCGACGCAAATGCTCAAACAGTATTTTTCAATCGATTTCATATCGAAAAGAATATTGTTTTAATATTAGAATTGGATACGTTTCAAGTACACATTTTGTTGAAATTAAATTAAGAGTTATAAATGTTTTAATTATAAGTTTTGCAAGTAAAACAATGATATTTCGCATTCTGTTAAATATAAATTATATATTTATTTTATTGCATATTATTTATACTTTTTTCATTTTATTTATCTTTATACAATATTTTACATTAGTAGATTTATATTTTTTATAAGTAAATAAATCTAAAGAAGTTCAAGCATAGTTCCACAAAGATTATATTACTTAGGATATAATCTCTGCTACATCACATTAAAAATTATCAGTGCAGAGTATAAATGCGATTTTAACTATCCATTAGCTCGGTCTGGGAGATCAGCATGCTCTTTCCTTTCGCTTTTCAAAAAAATTCAATTCATATTTATGTTCAGTAAAACGCAAAATTAAATGATTAACAAAGCTACGGGGCGAATAGACATAAAGAATTAATTACTCAGTTGGATCGATCTTACATAGAGAATGTGTTAAGATTCATACGAGGGGATAATCAAAAGTTTCCGGAATTATTTTAAAAAATATATTTAAAATATACTTACAGGTCTAAAACTTTAATTGATCTTTTTCAAGTGCCCCTCACATATGTGACTTAAAGCAACCATTCCACAGTGCTTCTCCCACTTTAGGAAACTGTCTAAATTCTGGAGTTCCGTTGTTAAGGGTTGCCACAGCGATTCTCGTTGAATTTCGTCAATGTCAGCAAAACTCCCTTAAGTTGCTACTTAATCGTAAGAATAAAAAGAGTCACAAGTGTCGAGATCAGGTGAATATGGTAGATAGGACACAGTTACCATTTTATTTTCAGCTAAAAACTGCTGAATGCTCAAGGCTACGTGGGCAGGAGCATTGTCATGACGCAGGAAACAATCAGCACTTTTCCATTTTTTCTTCCACTCTCCCTCGCTTCTTGTGACTTTTTTTATTCTCACGAATGAAGCAAGAACTTAAAAAGGGAAGCATTTTGCTGACATTGACGAGGTTAAACGAGAGTCGTTGGGAACCCTTAACAGCAAGTTAAAAGTCTTCTTCCGGAAGAAAAATTTAGACAGTGTTTCAAGTAGGAGAGGTGCTGTGATTGTTGTATTAAGTCACAAGGGGGGAGTAAAGTTTCGGTTCGAAGGAGATTAAAGTTTCAAACCTGCAAGTATATAATACACTTTAAATATTTTTTCAAAAATAATTCCGGAAACTTTTGGCTACCCTCTCGTACAATGGAGTGAGAAATAATTGCAGCGGCAGAAAGATATGCGGTAAAAAATTTGAGAGAAGACATATCGCGTTCTGGAAAAGTCTCGCCGAATTTTCGCGTGGCACAAACGGACGAACGGACGACTGAAATGAACTTTTCTCGCGATAATGATCCCGCGTACTCGTTAGGAGGCCGGCCGGCGAAATACTAAGCGACGGTTTTCCATTGTTACGCCGTGAAAGCCCACCGGTGGTGGGCTTTGTTCCTCTGGTACATAATACGCTCGGAGGTGCGCTAAAGTGGCGAACGAGAAATTTCATGGGACGCGTATAGAAAAAAAAAGAACGATGATGGCGAGCGCGGCGAAGGTTGACGTGCCGGTTATAAATTCTCTTAATCTCGCCGCTCGGCGCCGTTAATGGCGAGTTAATTAACCGGCGTGCAAAGACGCGGCTGAATAAAATTAAGCCGCGGGATTAAGAGCGTTAAAGAGCATTATTTCGGGGCCGATGGTGTTATCGGCTCTAGCCCGCAATGGCGTAACTTGAAAACTCTGCAATACTAAAAGAGAAGAAAAAAGGAAAGAGATAAGAGGAGAGGTAGATAACTACGGAAAAGAAAAAAAGAAATGAACGAGGAAGAAGAAAGAAAAAAAAATGGAAAGAAAAGGGAAAGAAATTAAAAAGAGAAGAGTGCGAAGAAACAGAAATCATAATTATTATTTTTTTTAATTTTGGAATTACTTTATATCATATATGTATTGAGTTATCCAAATATTTGCTGTATTTGCATCACTACTATCGCCAGTTTGTGTAGTATTACATGAACCTGTCTTTTGCTATGTATAATATTCAACGTTTTGAAATTCATACGATTGTATTATGTTACATATATTTATGTTACTATTTAATTATAACTTAATTTGAGCATAAATTGATTATGAATATTTATTAAAATAAACCGAGCTTGGTATCTGAAATAAGCTGAAAATTCCTTGATAAAGAGCTCATAAAAGCCTTGTTGTATCCGTTTTTTTGTAACCGCCGGCAGTGCATTTCGCTTATGCCGCCCTTTGCATATTACTCTCGTTTCCCTCGGGGAATTTAGAATTCGCCTAAGTGCCCTCCAGCAAATTTTCGACTATTATACGCGGCGAGCGAATACCGTCGTGCGACATAAACGGAAGCGGCTGCCGCTGCGAGCGATGGGCGTGGATTTGCATATCGCATAGTTGCGTCGCGCCGGATATGCGTGCAAACTCGCGCGGAAGATCTGAATTTATCAACATCGTAAAAAAGCAGCACTATTAAAGCGCGTGAAGCTAATGTGATAAATATACATAATATTTTTTTTTATGGCAACACAACGATCAATTTCTTATCGATATTAGAAAAGGTATTTTTTCTTTCTTAAGATAGAAAGGATAAATTAATTTAAAGAAAAGAAAATATAATTCTAGTAATACTAATTTTTGTTCCGTTATTCTTTCATTTCAGAATTTCGTATTGCTCGGCGGATGCGACGCACGATCACGTGTTCGCGTTCATCGCGACGAATCTCAACGAGACGATGGAGTGCCACGCGTTTCTCTGCCCGAAGAGAAAAATGGCGCAGACAGTGACGCTGACTGTGGCGCAGGCCTTCAACACGGCTTATCAGGCGTGGCAGTTGTCACAGTCCGATCCTAGGATCCATCACGCGCAGGATAAGAGCCCTCCCTCGACAGGTGACAGTATCGGTGAGGAAATTTTTCGCGGTATTAGTATATCTTTCCCGAGCATCTCGTCGTATATGTCTCAAAACAAGAGAGATTATTCCTATCCGTTACGGATAAATATACGAAAACCATCGAGAAGTTGGAGAAAATCGAAGGAACATAGAAAACAAACAATCTTGTTAATTTATAAATAAGCTCTCTATTTGTGTGGAATTTCGCGAAACGAGGACACACGAATTATATATATAGATCTTCTAGATTGAACTTTACAACATAGAGTTATAATAAATTTTCTAATCCTTTCAGTCAAAAGGTCGACTGCTAGCGGAGCAGTTTCTACTGTTTCCAGCATAATTATAAATTTAGAAAAAGTTAAAATTTTCAAAGACTAACAGGTAATTAGATTGTGTAATTTAGACAACATCAGGATTTTCAAAGGAATTAGGGTAGATTACGCGATTATTATATAATATAGGAAGAGTTGAGATTTTCGAAGAGTCGCGCGAGTTATGCGAGAGATCGTGGGAAAATTAAATACCTCGTGTCGTTACGTAAAATCGCAGTAATTAGAAATGCAGCTGGCTCTCGTTTCTGCACTTCAGAAAGCTTGCCACTTGCTTTAATCTCGGGTGAATTCGGCAAGTGCGGTATAAAGAGGCGGCTGCCGCGTTGATCGTAAAGAGCAGTGTCTATATGGGCGTTGCACTTAACCCGCTGAGAGTACGGATATTGCGGGATGCCTCCTGGCACCGGCCAAGAGAATCAGGAAATTGTGCGTTAATATCCGGATGGCACACACATTGCATCGTGTCGTACACGCGCACACGCCAATAAATGCCAGCAGATAATATTGCAGCTTCTGTCTTCGACATCTTGAATGCAATCGTTTGCTGCTTTTTATCACTTGTATTACAGGCGAATAAGACAATATTGTAATTCTGTATCGTAAAATTTATTCCAGATTTATAATTCGTGTCGAAATTCAGGATAGAATTCTATTTATAATTGATCTGAGTACATATAAGACGTGCATACGATATACATATATTAAAACATGTATTACAAACATTGAAATATATAGTGGATAAAATTAAAAATAGAATTCTAAATTTTTGAAATCTAATAAAACTAATTATAGGTCGCGTTAGAATTAAGCTTCCAAAGTGGGCTTAACTCTAATTCGTATATAGTTTCTATATTTATTTAATATTACGTTTTTTATTTTCATTTAATTAAAGTTTCCTTATTTTTATTCAATATTTTTCATTGGTGTTGCCGATTTCTTATCGTCCTTAAAATATTAAAGTTTGTACCAAAAAGGTAGACCCGTTAGATCGAACGGATATTTTTATAATTGATGGATTTGATTCTCGATTTATATCGCGAAACTGGTTTGTTAATTTTTAAATCGCCTTTTTTGAGGTTTTTATTTTATGGATATATTGCATAGAAATGTTTCGCTTCTGCATATTGCATCGAATATTTGAATGCAGAGCTTCAGGGAAATTCGCGTTTCGTTTTGAAAATAAATATTTGTCTTATATCACTTGGTAAAATTAAATTGATATTTTCAATCATTTTACCGCGATATTCTATGAAAAATAAGATTTTAATATTCTTTATACGTATAGGATGCTTCAGAATTATCATATAAATTTTGAATTTGTTTGCTTTTTTACCTTTTCCATTCGGAAACCACTTTTCTCGAAATACGAATTTTTAAATGATTTGTACAATTTTGGGAACAATTACAAATGATAAATAATTCAATATATAGGTAGGTTTCTGACGAACTAAAATTTCTGCAAATAGACAGACAAACTGCAAATAGATAATAACTATATTTTACTTAACATTTCTATGTTTATTTGCAAATCTATTTTTCTGTTCAAAATTACAATATTTATCCACAAATGGCAGATACATTTCTCGTTACATTTCCGTTTAGTATCATTTAATTATTCTGTATTTTTAATTACAGATAATGATGAGAAGAATAGCGCCAGCGAGACAAAGACTACTAATGGCAAGATTAATGAGCAAAATAAGCAGAATGGCCAACAGCGGCGTAACGACAGCCAGAAAAATCTTTTAATTGATTTGTCAAACGATCCCAAACCAGCGGGAAATTCATGGGTGAGTGATGAAACGTTGAGTTTCTCTTTGACGCGTCGTTGTCGTCGTCGTCGTCGTTGATCAGCAAAAACCGACCGATCAGCAAAGCTATACTATAATCCCACGGCGTTTGATCCCTTCCCAGTTTACTACATCTCGTCGATAGGTACTCCACATCGCGTTGCTATGTGTACACGCCATTGATCTGCATCGCGTCAGAGGATATGAGAGACTGCAAAAAAGCGAACATTTAAAGCGAAATTAAAATCCGAAATGGCAAAGTAATTTTGTCGAGTCTTTTTGAGAAGGATAACTTCAAACACACGTTTCATATTTTTATTTCGGAAATCTGAGCGCGTCAAAAAAATTTTGTTTGCAATCTCTCAAATTAATTGGCACGGGAGATTTTAGTATATATATTTATATATTTTATAACTATATATTTTATTAATTATAATTAATTAAAATATTTAAAATATTTGTAATTTTGGTTACACACGTTCTTTAAAATTAGTAATATATACTTATCTATTTATTATTTATTTCTATTTTTTATGTTACAAAAAGATTAAAAAATTCCAGGAAATAATTTTATATTTTAAAAACAATCTAAAAAGAAATAACAATCAAATTTACTTTTAATTTATATAATTTCCTATAATCAAATACATAGAGGAAAAGGTAAAAATTTGTCGAGTAACGTGAGCCGTTCGCTTCTTTTCAGGTATGCTTCGAGGAGGATTCGGACATGAAGAAGAGCCAGAAGAAGAGTGCGGGAAGTAACAATAGTATTCCTATGACAACGCTTAGGCACCACACGGCATCCACTCCGGCGCATCACGTGGTGCCTCGACCGAGCGCCGGTTTCAAGGTGCAAAACGCCTGGGGCGAATCCAGGTCGGTCGACCTGATGTGTTCGTAGCAGGCAGGATAGCCGGCGGCCGACAGTTTCAGGGACGTGCCGTTGATAACGGGCCTCTGGAAACACCTCTCGGACAACGGTCAATCTAAAAAGACCAACGGCAATCATTAGAATCCTCGCCGAACTGTCCCAGCAGCTTCCGATCGCGAGTTTAAAACTTCGAAAAGGCGACGATCTTCGCCGATTATTCATATTTTTATCGAACGCTGAAGTGGAGACAGCGTGGATGCCGCAGCGGTGTCTATTTTTGTGTGTGATCTTCTTAATGAAACTACATTATAAGTCCGATGGGGTTTCTCATATTCGATGGAGGGACGTGGAAAAGATTGCGGATGATTCTTATCAATGTATACCGATGACAATGACAATGATGGTTTCTTTTTAAAGAGGATTAACCCGCACCAGAGAGATCGCGGTAATCGGGGTGGGATCAATTTCTAATGGATTTTGTATAATACGTATAATATACATATACCTGTGCCAATTACTTTACATACATATCGCACAAACATTACTAAACAAGAATGTGAGTGTCAAGACACTCACTTATTTATCGTTTTTAATGGTATTAACTCTGGAAATTAGACTAAAATTAGTGTCGTACAATTCACGTTTCTAGAGAATCCATTGATGAAGATCGATTTTCGATTCAAGGTTCATCGGAGAATTGAAAGTCTCGATGTGACGACCAGATAGGTATTTTATCAAACAAACCAAATTTTTCTGAAATTAACTGAACATAATTTATTTTTATTCAATCCCGATGTCTAGTGAGGAAAACAAATATACGCGCCTGTAGCTGATATTTTTTATAAATTGTTATTTTATTTTTATAATTAATTTGTAAATGTTACTATAAATCTTTTATATACATTTTTTTCTCAAATATTTACGGATATAATATTAGTTTTTGCATCAAGATCTTCAATTGTACAATGAGCCGAAATTATACAATTTTAGCGAGTGAAAAATCTCGCGAGCATACACCGAGCTTTGTGCTAAAAATATGTTCCGTCCAAATCGGAAAATATTGCTGCCATATTTTAATCCCGTATATGAATCGAATGTTTTACATATATATGTATGTACACGTGTATCTACGCGATGCAGTGGGCGACTAAATTGTTTAGGAGCAATTTTCGAGTGAATTTCGGTAACATAAAATGCGTATTCCAGAGTTAATACGTGTCTGTTATTTCCGTTGAAAACGTACGATAATAAAAAAAAGAATTGAAAAAAAAAACGCCAGGTTTCGTAGATCGATTCCCTCTTATGGTGCTGGATAGAGATGATCCCTAATTGTTGATAGTCGGGCACTTGATTGAATAGCTGGACTATTTCTTAGTTAAAATTCGTTGAAATTTCTTGCAAAAAAAAAAGAATCGTTTGATTAAATGTAAATGATTAAATAAATATCGAGAAGGCCGCGTTATATTCATACGATATTGGGTGTAATTTGCAATTAGCTCATACGTTTACGTGACAATTTGATATTCCCAAAAAGAATTTTTATATTCCGAAGGGATCATTTGCCAAACGGGCTTCGTTGCGCTGATGAAGATTTCATTGATAATATCAGCGGCGAGCTATTGCCGTCAAAATACCGCAATATTACGTATTACGCAATATTAAATATTAATGTGTTGATGTATACGTTATGAATAAATACGTGCGCGTAATAACTAATAGGGCGCAATGATGCCGCTAATAATCGAGGAGCGTTAACTATATTGATATTTAATTTATCGATTGTTAAATCGTAAATATATTGTATTCTGGTTTTAGCTATATCGTATCTGTGCGTAATTATCGCGATGACCTCTTATTGGACAACGTTAAGGTCTTCGTTTCTGCGCGATGCGATTATGGATTCGATTATATTCTTGTGAATAAGTAAGTTGCAGAGGGCTGCGATTTCGATTTCGTAAAAGATATAACGGGTGTAATACATTATATGATAACTTACTGTCCATTATAGTCAATGTTATATTGTCGAAGAGCAGCGTTTTTAGATTATCGGATGAAATTATATCGATTCTAAGGTAGATACTCCGGTGGTTTTGTAGAGATTTTGTAGATTTGCAGAATTTATCACGAGACGATGAAACAATTGGAATGCTCATTCTTTCATTTTAATACCTTTTTGACCAAAATTTTCGAAATAAGAGAAAGTTTTCATTACTTTTTCAATAATAAAGGAAAGTGAATTTATTAAAAAATATTTTGCTTACTTTTACGTGAAAATTTAAAAGTTTTTATAATATGGAATATTAAAATGCAGTCTTTTATGTGATGTAATGTGTTAAAAGCTCAAGATATTTTACAAGATTATTCATTAGTAATTAAATTCATTTATAATTAAAAAGTTAGATGCCTGAGTTTTATTAAGACATACTGGTCAAAAAGGAATTATCACGTATGGACCGATGGCGATATAAATCTCAGACCGGACGTCCAAATATGTGCGCTGATAAATAATCATCTCGAAGTGACCGTAACTTTACATAGCTGCACACTAATCGCACATTGTGCATCGTATTACCACGGGAACGTTATATACATTTTTTCGCTAAATGTTCGTAGTCCGTAAGCAGCACGAATCAAATATACGTATGTATATCTGACATGTGTGCGTCTCATGACAATTTATCCCTGCACAGAAAAAAGAAATCTCCTCCTTTCGCGATCCTTAATTTTTAGAGCGCCGGCATTTGATGAGCTTTAATCCTCTTAGAAAGTCCTCAAATTGTTGCGCTTATATCTTATATATAACATATACAAAGTTCCGATCATACGTAGAGCCTATATTTAGGCTTTCCGGCGGTCTAAAGGTTAAAACAAATCCGGATGTCGATTTATTGTACTTTGCGTTTAATTAATCTCAATATTGATTTTATTTTATAATCGTAAAAAATTATATTGATAGGCTTTACTTTATCGACGACTATCGTCGCAAACTAAATAAATAGAAATCATCGGAGCAGAACCATTTGCTGAAAAAGGACACAGTGAAAGACAGTAGAGAAAGAAATGTGCTTTAACAGAAATTTATTGTTCCAATACATCACAAATGTAACTTGTGAAAAGGAATAGTCTCCCAGACGTTCTGGTAAATCGAGAAGAAGCAAGTATTACGTACACGAGGAAAGTTCCTCCTAATTTATATTGATATCCGCATTACTTTTTAAATAGTTTTCTCTTGGCCAATTTATATAGACATCGTCATCGATCTTCGTAACTTTTCCCTTCTGATGGACCTTTATGAAAATTAGATATCGGATACTTTTACGGTAGATTCTTTTCTCGGCTACTTTAATTGTCCCTTTTGGGAGATATCAATCAAACCAGATGATGCGAGATGAGAACATTGTCGAGAAGATATTTTCGCCTGAGATGGGCAGTATCCTGAAAATACTTTCAGAATATTCTGATAAATTTTATGTATCGTAATATTGTAGGAATGTTTGGAAGATATCTCTCTGAAAATACTATGCAAATTCTCGAAATATACATTTCGACGATTCTGCAGATGTTGCAGTCGCGAAAGCTCGGAAAGCATCCCGAGAAGTTACGGTACATTCCGTCGGATATGATATATATATATACACACACAAGTTTAAATTCGACTTATCTCTCGTTAGTTATAGAAACTCTTAGAAAACTCGTAATTATGTACGTCTTATACTTTCTCGGAATATTCGCAGAATATCTTCTCATCTCGCGTTTGACAATAATGTTCAACATTAACAATACGAAAAGTCCTCGTGTCCGCGCTTTGAAAACTCCCTGACGCTTTCTAATTAGCGACGGAATATATCGCGTATATAATATACATATTACACATCGTAATTATGTTACGTCTGAGCGCCTCGTCGATTCTCTTTCTCTCTCTCTCTCTCTCTGTCGCCTATCTTCTCATATAAATACTTAGCGATTATTTTTCTTCATTTACGGGATGTTTATGTTTAATCACTATCTCGTCTTTTCTGAGATTGGAATTTAACAATCGCACGCGCCGCACGAGAACCGCACCTCGCGATAACGATGGGTGTATTAAAAAATAATTGCACTCCACGCTTCAAATGATCTCTTATCAACCTAGCGCAACAATAGCTATACGGTAATAATAAATTGATCGTAAACCTACATAACTACATAACTCTCTCGACGCCGCGAAATAATCCCTCTCTCTACTTTTCTTCGGTATATAAATAAATCTCCTAAATTACAATTCGTGTGTGCGCAAAAATCCGTGTGCATGATATACATGGTACGTATAAAAGTCTCGTCTCCCCGATGGAAGCTCTCCAAGTTTGCAAAACTGCAAGAAATAGGGTGACTATATCCTGCGAGGTTCTCGTACGGCAATCGAGCGCACCAAATTTATCTAACATATTCATGATACGCGAAATGTCCCATGTAAATGTACCCAATCACATCTTTAAAGGGAGGATAATTCATTTAATTACACGCAATATTCCGAGAAACAAAATATCTTTTATATTACACTTTAACATCGCGACTGGATTCGTTTTACACGACACATTTTGCATACAGCGTGCTCCGGAAAAATATAAGTATAAATAAAAAAATTGATAATTTTTTACAGTCCTGATAAATTAATTTTTTTTTGTTTAATTTAATTAAATATGTTGTTCAGTGTAATATATAAAAATAGAATATTTTTAATTATAGATAAAAGAATTTAGACGAAGAAATGAAAAATTTACATGTGTTGCAATAGTTTGTTGCTTTGATTACGGTTAAGGGGATCCTGCAGTGACTGGCGAACTTCCTCGATGTCGATAATGTCAACCTTTCTAATTTTGTTTTCCCTATATCTGTCTTTGTCTAACGAAATGACATCTGTCCTTTTTTCGATTGCTCGCCATCTCTCGCAAGATCCGGCAACTACTGTTGCTGCTCTTCTTGTCATTTGCATCCGTATTTGCATTACTAAAATAATTTTTCGATGAATCTTTTTTTGTACGCATTGAATCTTACTTCTACTTGCACGATATTATTCCTACATGTTTTCCCAAGGGCAGATGATAAAAATTATGTATGTATAAACTGCAGAATTTTTGTTTTAAGCAAATATTGTCGTCAGGTGACAGCTGCGTATGTGCCCAAATAAGTAACATTTTTAATTTTTTGGCGTTTTTGATATAAAATCGCGTTTTCTGCCCTAGATTTTTGTGCGTACTTTAATTCTAGACCAAAAACTTGCAATTCTGTAAAGCCAATTAAAAGATCCATCGAAAAACGATAATGTCGGTAAATCATACGGCTGCAGGATCCCCTTAATATCGATGCAATTTAGCGTCCTTTGGAAACTGTAACTTATACTCCTTTTGCGGCGCACGTTGAATATTTTCTTTCACTTCATTTTTATCCTAACTTATAGATATTCCTGATTATTCGATAACGGTAATAATATATGATACAGCGGTTTCTCTTAAAAGCTACACTGAAATATTATCCTTCACTGTTTTTTTCTTTCCTCGCACGTTCGCTCCGCTTTGCACTCAATGGCAGCAAATTAATTAGTGATCCACAAAAACATTAGAAACAATTCTTTCATCTTTCAACAAAGTCACATCTTAATTAAAAACCCTGCAAGCTTCTTGTGAGTTATCTTCCTTAGATCTATAATAACAATTTACACGTTATAAAATTATGCTTCCAAATTATTTTACTCTTAATTATCTGTCTTTTCTCTAAGTATAAAATCATTTTATGACCCATTTCTACACTTGTAGAATTTTCGCGTACAATTTCAGCATTAAACATAAATTTAAATTGGACAAGTAAATTTTGAGATTAAATAATTGCATTTCTAGAAACGCGCGGTAACTGTTATACGTGGTTTTGTCCCTTTGTTCGTTATATTGTGCTGAAATTGTGGAAATTACTCTTTATTAATTTTACTTTCTTTGAAGAAAGCATTTCTTATCCGTACTTTTTAATTTTCCAACCATTTCTTTAATTAGAAAAATTGGTATATTTGATTACATGAAAACAGCGTATTTAGATAATTTAGAAGTCTTGGGTCTGAGTTAGACGATCAAGTTAGACAACGAAAAATGACAACGAAACGTACGCAAAGTGATAATCTACATCCAGATCAAATAACGACATCGGAATGTTTAATCACAGAAACGGCAATAAGAACGCACCAAGCGTACACCCAATACATTTCCCGCATATCATGTATTTCTCAGTCAGAATCTTCATGTCGTCTTATACAACGCGAACATCAGCTGATTCCTATACCTTCACCAAGTAATTATAGCGTTCTATCACTTCGCGTTTGTGATTATAGAATTCTCTTTGCTCATAAATGAAAAGTAGTAAAAATTAAATTAATCAAACAACAAGCTTGTCAACATTTTAAAATATAATTCTAGTCTTGTCATAAATAAATAAATAAATAAATAAATAATTAAGTGCAGCAATATATAGAATTCCTTTAGTTATTATTAAACGACTGATATTAGCATTTAGTGAAAGACCTCAAGAAAAACTTTTCAAAAATCGTAAAACGCAAAGTGATAAGCCAGAGAACTTCGTAAAGTCGCTGGATGAGTTCAGAGAGCTCTGAAATGACGGGGATAAGGTATCGATCGGCTGCTGATTGCGCGATGCGGAAGGAAAAGGATGTTAATTGTGTCGCTCGTCGTCGTAACAAGTCGGATTACTGTCCTGCTCCTCCTCGTAATTCATTCAACCGCAAAAAGACGCATTATTCACAGCCCGTGCTCTCGCTTGCGCTTAAGACGCTTAAGTATGCTCGTCCACAGCACAGTGAAGTTTCACACATGTGTCTATGACAAGACGTGATATGTTAGTGTATTCTAAGTCTTGACTGCGCTTGCTAACGTTCCGCATATAAATCTTCTCGCTCGCGTATATCCAAATGGACCTCTTCCATCCACTCATTAAATAGGTGTATGATGCAAATAACAATATAATTGAGACTCGATTCTAGGAGCAAATTGAATAATCAGTTACTGCTAATCTGTTCATAAAAAATTTTTCTTCTCGTTAATGATTTTTCATTAAGATTTTCCAACTGCTCCTGTTAAATTCAATCTTGTTTTAAGTGATTCTTTTTACTTTTAGTTTCTTTAAAGAGATACAGCAATAGTTCAACTAAAGTTAAACTTAGCTGACATTTAAGTTAGAAACTGGTCTCCTCTTGAAAAAGAAACTTTTCCAATTTTAATTGATATTAATGCAATTAAACTTGGAAATCAAGTCGTTTGTAGAAGGAGTTTGCAGTTCTTATTTCGCAAATGTATGAAATAGATACATGGAAGCATCTTTATTTCTCATAAAGCGCACAATTTCTCTTTCGTGCCTAAATATACGCGGACAAATGAAAACGCGTACACTCGATGCTCGTTCACCAAATGACAAACAACAATTAAGTACCGTTTCTTCGTTTCGCACAGCCGTTCGCGCTGATATCGATCAAAAAATCAATCCCCCTAGCAACGAAGCCAACTGATAATTTACAGCCCCGTAAAAAAATAAGCTCCGATCCCGCTACGAGAGCTCGAGTTACGAACCTAGAGCACACTCGGGATCAAGATATAACGAGCGATATGCGACTTTGAAAGCGATTCGAAACCTCTCGCATTATATCTCGTATAATTAACCCTACAAGAAACTTTACCCGCGATATTATCCGCCCCTCTGTCCCTTTCATTACGCATCCTAATCCAGTCTATTTTTAGCACCGTAGAGGCTCCTCGTTAGCGAAAGGATCTGAATGTTGGAAATTGACTCTCGAATCGTTAAAATCCAAATAGATTACTGAGCGATTTATTATCATTAACAGGTCATACGAGATTGTACGCTCTCTCCAATTTTCACTGTCTAATTATTCCTGTTCGCTAACGAGGCTTGATCATGTACGGTGATCACCTCTTGGTGGTTACGATGTATAAGCCGTAAAAGCGGAAAGCTCTCTAAAGTCCTCTCGAGCGACAACAGCTTGTTTTGCGCACATAATACCGTAGCTCGGCTCTAAGAAGGATATTGAAGCTTCTTCGTTCTCTTGGGTATTCCCTTCCTGCTTTCTGTTCCTCCTTTCTTTCGTACAGCACACGCACGCACGTACACACATACACTCATGTACATTCTCCTTTGGCACGTCAGCTCGTATGCTATTTTCTACTCGCTCTTTAACCTATCATCGCGATAAAAAAATATGAGGAATAAAAATATATCACGTAACAACATCCCCTCCGTGAGAGGAGAAAACTGAAGACGAGATCCTTACGCAGCGGCGAGATTTACTCGACAAACCGCCAACGTGGAAGCATCTTTCCTCTCCCTATCCCTACCACTGACGCGCTCCATCCAATCGTTGATCCTGTGCACCTTCTGCACGCCAGATTCCCAGCAATTTTTTATCTTAGAGCTCTTCGAATAATATAGTATGCAAATGAGATATTTAAATTTAGCTGTTCGGCTTTTACTAATTTTTTGGTCGGAGAGAAAGACAATATTATAAGAACGATCTTCGGCGAAACGGTGAACGGAAGAACGACAGGATCAATCGACGATCCTGAATACAGAGAGGCCGTGTCAGTATACAGGTAACTCGTAATTGAAGTTAATAAAATCTTACGAAGCGTTTCTCATTATTCTGTTTCTAATTATTCATTAATCTCACTCGAACTATTCATTTCTTTCCAACGAGCCATATTCTGTAATACAATTATTTATTGTATGGCCGAAGCTAGGTCAGTTAGGGATAAAAATGGCCGGTGCATTCAGGATCTCGTCTCTCTTCGTCGATGAATCGAAATTCCAGCATTTCCAGGAAGTGTCTTCGGAGAACAACTTCGCGTTTCTCTCTGCGGCTTTCGCGGAAATGTCTTTCGTCTTTAGTCTTGCTTCTTTGACGAGCGGCGAGCTCCAGGGTCGCGGTTTCGCGACACAATCGCATTGACCTCACTACAGATATAAGCTTGGTGTGCAAGGAGCCTTCAGCCGAGCCATGGTAGCCATCAGCTGGGCTGCGGCGGCGTCAGTCTCACTAAGAGCCACGTATACAGCTTTGGCTTCCGCTTGTCGCTCAGCTCGTACTGCAGATTAGCCAATCCATCAGTGGAGAATCTTTTCTTGCCTGTCTTCAGGAATTCATACCTGTCGTCAAAAATTATGCGTTCAACCACTACGATCCGAAGAGAATGTTCAAAAAACTAGTTGTCCTGAATAAAAAGCGACTTTTTCGACTCACCTCTTCGGATTGGCCTTCTCCTTTTTGTGCGTGAGCATCTTGTAGCGCGCGACGTTTGCCGGATATCGCGAGATATGCAGACCATGGGCCTTGATGCGATTCGCCATGTCGTCGTCCTCACCGCCCCAGCCCCAGAAGACGTTGCTGAAGCCGTTGACCAGCTGGAAGTGTTGGCGCGACATCGCGGACACGCCGCCGAAGAGATCGGCGTAGGGTAGCCTGAAGATGTAGAAACGTTAAATAAATTTTCCGTCGATAAGAAAATTAAAAAATAAGCTAGATTTACTTCATGCTGAGAATGATATAGATTTATAAGCCACATTATAAAATTCAATTTATTTGTTCTTTACTTATATATCAAAATTACTTAATTATAGGTACGCGTTTAGATTTATAATATGTTCAACTATGTTTTATATTTATTTAAAATTTCTTGTAAGTGCGAAAGAATCGCGTTTTTACCTATACTTGAATTTGTCCACCGCAACCGACATATGTCTGGGCTGCTCGGGACAAGTGTACAGATTTCTATCGTCCTCCGGAAGTAAGTCAACATCATGAAAGATGAAGCAGTCGAAGGTTCTTTCTTTTAGAGCCTCTACGTAGCCGACGTTCATGAGCATTGCTCGGTTAAAGGCCCCGGTACCTGAGAACAGATCGATATGGATAAATATCGTTGATATATTATTAAAAAGAAGTAAATGCCTAAAATCTTTCCAAACTAAAATACCAAATAAAATTAATTCAATGTAATTCGACGACTCTCGTTAAAAAGAATTTTAGATTTACTTCTCTTAAGAACAATTTCAATTAATAATTCCAATTTCTTAGAAAGTTTCAACTACATGAATGTTACAAGTCAATCGTTTGAATAGAATATTTAAGTTTTATCTCGATAATTATTTCATACGCAAGCGCGATATTCAACATTTTGTAATTTATTAATTTGTTTCAATTTTCATGAAGCAGAAACAAACCGCAGACTAACATAAATCTCGATCAAAGCGTGGAGTTTCTTTAATAAATTGCAAGCAAAGTCGAAGCGAAGTCGGTGAGTTCGCGAACTGAAAACCCTACTAAATCTTTGAAACATTCTATTGTTAATCAAGTTTCAAATATTTAGTACGATCTGGTATGAGATTTTAATTCTCTCCCTTTCTTCCTTAATTTAAGCGCGCCTCTTAATTTATGAATGCTGATTAGCTCGACCTACTACAAGCTATCAAAGTTGCTCCACGCTCTCGAGGCTGCGGCAAAATAATCCGCTCTCCGGCGTGTTTTAAAGAAACTTTCTTCGCAAAGTTGCTATAACAGACTTGTTTTAAAAGCCGAGGGAAGAGTCTTGATCTCCTGCGGAAGGGACGAGGAAGCAGCCGCGTACAAATTGTCGCTGGTTTGACAAGAGCAGGCGCCGCCACGTAAGGATTGATGAAAAGGGGGAGGGTGGCAGGAATCCCGCACGGACGTTTGCCAAGTCGTCGGGCGCAATTAAAAGTTTCGCGTCTTATCCTGTCATCGCGGTTACTCGAATGCCATGATGGAAGTAGGTCATACGTAGGGAACTTCGGTGAATTTTCCTCATATTTCCTGCCATCCGCTTGCCATCCGCTCCGTCGTTTTCATCCTCTCAGGCTGCAGTTGAGAATAGTTAGGGCGAAGCCGAGAGAGTGATTAATGACTTTATATTCTAATTTACGATTATTATTATTTTAACAAAAATTACATAATATTAATTTCCACGCAATAACATCACTTTTTGTTTGATAAGAATATCAACTAAATACATTGTTTAATTTAATTATTGTTTTTTTAAATATAGCGTTGTGTTGATTCTAAACAGAACAAATAATTCGTAAGTGAAATTTATATCGAATACGCCGCGGAGCACTTTGTATATTATATTATATACTTCCTATGGAAAAAGACGGAAGCAAAAGAGCGAAAAAAGCGTGAAAGAAATCTAACTGGAACCTCGCGTCCGATTATTCGCGAATGATTACGAGAGACCGGCGAACTAACAGGCTCTTTCTCAAAGAACGAAGAGGAAAGGCAAAGGCTAACGCTCTCAAAGCCGCTGGCGCTGCACATCTCTCCCGTCAGTCGTCGATTATTATTGGCTGAATAAACTTCGCGCTCGATCGAATCTCCTGCACTGTCGCCGACAAACATACACGGAAGACAGACGCGGAAAAATAAAGAGCGTTACGAGGAGGACCCCCGCAGTCGGAGAAGATGAGCGTTTTGTTCGCCAAACGCGCGCGCAAACGGTCTCGTTTCTCCTCGGTCGCTCGACGAAAGGCGCCTCTCGACGGAAGTGTATTCCGGGTATTTCAGATATTTCTTTATGCCGTCAGCGATGAGTAAAAGGGGACGCGATAAAGCGGCGATATACAGCGAGAGGCGGGCGAGGACGCGGAATACAGTGGACGATAAAGAGACGCAGGTGCAGCGCGACTACGGTGAACATTTTCACGGGAGGGGGGGGGAAGAGAAAAGGCGAAATGGAAACTCATCCCAGAGGAAGGCAATGTTGACCTAAAAGATGTAAATGTCAAGCGATCTAATGACGTTTCATTACGGAGCAGTTCTACGTTATTTACGACGAGTGTCGCGCACGTTTCGCAGCGCACTGTGCAATTACGCTCTTTGACGAATTATAGAATTGCAAACGGACGGGAGCGAAACGTGGTTTGGCCGAGGTAAAAAGTAGACAAACGGCTCTCTAAAATCTCTCAAGCGTATTATACAAGGCGTCGGTGTATGTACAGATATGCCATCAAAAATGGTATACAATTGCCTTCCAGCGGACTACTATTGACAAATCGAATTATGAACATATAATATTAAGATCTTTCATTGTCATCGCCAACAATATAAATTAAAAAATATCGAATAAACCATTTTTATTAAAAGGAAACCGTGTAAAGGCAGAAAAATGCTCAACTTCATGAGAAATAAAGCCAAAGAGCCAATCGATTTACGCCCCTCGCCTTTAGCCCTCTTCAAAGACATAAATTGACTCATCGTCGTGCTTAGTGTCAAGTTTCATAGCGATCATTTATAAAAATTGAGGCCGAGTTGGAACAACAGTTAACTTTTATATCACACCCTTTTTGAAAATAGTTCTTCTCGTAATAAAAAACGACAGATTATTTATTTATATATGGTATTAGTTTTTGACCTGCGGAGTTTTGGTTTCTTACACTGCCGGTCAGAGATTTGGATACACTTGCCTATACATCTATAATTTGTATTTAACAGGACCCCCTCTCAAAAAAGCTTCTTTGTTATTAATTAATTAATTAATTTAGTCATAACTTTTATTAAATATTTAAATCTTACCAATCTCTGACAAAAGAATTCACAGAAATATCATACAAGATATTTGCAAATATTTACTTCTGCGCTCACAAGAGTGGGTATGATGCAAATATTTAAGTACGTCTGCGAG